TCTCCTGGTTAAGGGTTGAGGGTTGAGGGTTGAGGGTTGAGGGTTGAGGGTTGAGGGTTGAGGGTTGAGGGTTGAGGGTCGAAATTTGAGGTTTTAGGGTTTCATGTTTCGGATTTCGGGTTTCGGGTTTCGTGTTGAGGGTTTAGTAGTCAGGGTGTAGGATTTAGGGTTTAGGGTTTCAGGTTTCGGTTTTCAGGTTGCTGGTTTCGGGTTTCGGGTTTCGGGTTTCGGATTTCGGATTGAGTGTTTAGTGTTGAGTATTCGTTATTCAGGGTTCAGGGTTTAGGCATCAGCGTTCAGCGTTCCGCGTTCAGCGTTCAGCGTTCAGGGTACAGGGCGTCACCGCCCCCCCGCGGCCACATGCTCGTCGGGAGATGGCGGGGCGGGGCCCCCGGGCGGGGCTCGGGGCGGGGCGTGGTCCGCGGGGCCCCCCTTCCTCCAGAGCGTGCGTGGTCCCCTCCGCGCGCCGAAGCCCCCTGTGTTTGGGTTTTGGGGTGTGGGGTTTGGGGTGTGGGGTTTGGGGTTGGGGGTTTGGGGTTTGGGGTTTGGGGTTTGGGGTTGAGGGTTTGGGGTTTCGGGTTTCGGGTTTGGGGTTCAGGGTTCAGGGTTAAGGGTTCAGCGTTTACCCGCGCCGGCACCCCGGGCAAGTCGGAACTCCATGGTGACACACTGCCCCTCGCCCCGCGATGGCCAACCCCCCCACGGACTCCGCCGCGCGAGGCGGGCGCGGCGCGCTCCCCGCTCTTGGTGTCCGCCGCGCCGCGCCGCCGCTCCTCCCACCATTTCCCGCCCTTCTTCTTGTCCTTGTCGCCCTCGGACTTCTTGTCCTCGCCCCCGCGGAGATGCAGGCAGCTCTCCACCTCGACCCGCCACCACCCCGGCCGCCCCTCGGCGTGGGAAGGACCGCCGACATAGGGATGCAGCTCGCCCGGACGCAGGACAGCCGCGACGCGAAACAGCCCCTCCATTCGCGGGAGGGCGCAGAGCAGGAGCAGCACTGACACCACCCGAGGGGCTCGCAATGCCAGCCACCCCCCGCCCGAGGGGCTCCCTTGACGCGGTCGCTGCTTAACGGCCCGGGGCGCGCCTGCTGCGTCGTGGCCCGGCGTGGCCGGCATCGCGAGCCCCATCGGGGGGTGGATTTTTGGCGTCAAGTGCACTGCCTCGAGGGCCTGCCTGAGAGGATTGGTCGAGTGCGGATCTTGGGTGAGACCCCCCTCCTCGAGAGGAGGGGATCCCCTGAAGCTGGCGTGACGCGCCCGGCAGCTCCCGCTTGGGGTCCGGCGGTGTGACGCGGCAGAGCTTGCTATGTGCACCCAAGTGGGACGGCGTTGCCGAATGGGGGGGGGAGGGGCTGGGGCACGTGGATGAAGGGAAAAGAGTCGGCAGCAACGAGAGGGGCGAAATGGGCCGCACGAAGAAAACTGAGGCAGAGGCTTTCTGATGAGGGGGGCAAACCTCTTTCTCGAGACCCCGGATTTGCACAGCCGGACACCCAATTCCGGTGACCTCCAGCACAAATCAGGGCCATTGAACAAGGCAATTTGCTCCTCCCCCGAATCTCTCGTGCAGCCAAACCCCAGGCAAAACATCACCCCATAAAACCTCTTTGTACCACACACTTATAAACCCGTACCACGAAAATAAAAGGACGCATTCATAAAACCCCACTTTCCACAAAAAATGACCCTGGTATATAAACGGACGGAACGGAAATGTCGATATCGAGTGGGAGAATGACTTGAGCTCTCATGGCGAAGTTGGCATCGCGTCGCTCTGATAAGGCGAAGGTCTTCGGTTCGAGCCCGAATGAGAGCACCGTTCTTTTGGCCTTTTTGCCTTTTCGCCTTTTTGCCTTTTTGCCTTTTTGGATCCCTTTTTGCCTTATTTTCACCCAGCTTTTTCCCCCCTGCTTGACGGACTATTGGTAAGTTGACATCCTGGGTTCGCGGTACAAATCGGTTAACTTTGGGACGTGAAAGAGACCGCGCCCGCTAAATCGGTGGGGCCGAACAGACTGGGAGCGGGATTCGGGGGTGAGCCGAAAAACCCATGAAGGAATCCGTAGGGACAGCCGTATGCCCCTACGAGATTGCCTACAGTAGGGATCCACTTAACGGGTTATTCAACGAAATTCTCCCGGGAAATCCCGAGAAAATTCGTGGTCATACTTAGACACTCTAAGGAGCGACGGTTAGTATCAATAGCTTGACTCTGTGGCTCAACGGTAGAGCATTCGACTCCAGATCGAAAGGTTGTGGGTTCGAATCCCATCGGGGTCATC